CCAAACTCAAGGAAAGATGGCATACACTGATGTATGAAATGATTAAATGACTTTTAAAATTTAACAATTAAACTTTCTTCTGTTAGGAGAATGTTTATTTCTCTTGGTGTTCATGTTGTTTTAATATGAACTTACCTTGTACCAAGAAAGTTTATATTTCAGATCTGAAGCCTCAATCATAGTCCTTCTCCGTGAATACAAAAGAAATCTTAGTTTATAATGTCAGCTTAATGTCTCAAAGGTACCAGAAGCCTCTATCGCAGTTAGAAAAAAATGTATGCTTCTGTAGAATTTATAGCAGGGATTGCAAGAACAGCACATAGTTTAGAGAACATTTCATAGTTTTAATGCTGCTAGAAAAAGAATTCCAGCCATCTAGAATACCAGAGCATGATTTTTTTTTATGATAAGCTCTACGCTAGGCCATTTTCAAATACCAACGCTTTATTATGTTTAAGTTATATATCTGCTGGTATACTGAAGTGAGATACACCAGAAATCCTAGCTAGTGATACGAAGCAGAAATCATTGCTCTATGTTATGTTACTAAATTATAAAAGCAACTGTGTATCTTTTGCTAAACTGCACTTGGCACATGACTTGAGTATGTTTTGGGTCAGTTTTTTTGGTCTTTCTTACAACACAATGTTGCTAATACCCATCTATTTCTGTTTCTTTCCCCCCTTTTTTTTTCTTTTTTCTGTCCTCAACCCCTCCCAATGTCTGGAATTTTTGGATAAGGCAAAGCATTTTTATCTCTTTTTTTTTTTTGTCAACAGAAAAGCCAAACATTTTTACATTTGAATTCCTTATGGAGTTGCTTATCCTTTTTAAAATTTCTGGCTCTGATTATTTTTTTAAAGATATAGTCCTTTTGAAAATTAAAGTGTGTTGATCTTTCAAGAGTCCTACAGTGAGAGCAATAAAAACTGATTTATGCTCTGTGGTAGGATCAGAAGGTTTTATTACTGAAACATAATATAAATTAAGCTTGGCAGTAACACCCTTTGCACAGTCCTACATTTCTTGGTGTGGTGCTGAAGGATAAAGCACTGGACCGTAAGGTCACTTTGAACCACAAGGTTGGTACAAGGTCGCTATGAGTCAGAACCAATACGATGGCACTCAATAACAACATCTGATTCATTCTTGTTTCAAGGAAAAAGAAATTCTGTAAGGTAAACATCATTGTTATTGATGTGTACCTAACACAGTGGGATTACAAAAAAAAAAAAAAAAAAGAAACTAGAATTTATAGTCAAATGTGAAGCAGGCCTCAAGGCAGTAATTTTATTTCTACTAGACAACTTATAGGACTTATAGCATTGGTGATATGAGGATGATTTTATAGATAGGTAAAAGCACAGTTCCTGGCATCAGAATGCTAAATTCAAATTCCAATCACACTACCTATCAGATATATGATCTTAGACAACATCTCTCTACTTCAATTTTCTTATTTGAGAAATGGGATCAACTATTAATCTAAAGGCTGATGGTTTAAACCTACCCCATAGTACCACAGAAGAAATACCTGACTTTCTGCTTTCTAAAGATTACAGAAAAAAACAAAAACTATGAAGCATACTTGTAGATAGTACTCATTTGACCTTTCAATGGCTGGATGATCAGAACTTGACTAGAGGAACTTGACTAGAGGAAGAAAGAAGAGGAAAAAAAGAGTAATCCACTACAATTTGATGAACTTGACCTATATTTATGGATGTAGTAGCTTAAAAGAAGGAACAAATCTTTATAGCAAGGATCATTCCCACCTCTTCAGTACACAAAATTGACAGGGATGGGCAACTTAGACATTGGCTACCCAAAAGGGGGAAGGGGGAGGGGTATGTAACACAGGCATGAAATGACTGGCTTACAAGTTTTCAAGAGGGAGCTTAGTTTCACAGGGTGCAGGGGAAGGTAGAATCTCTACTAAGTAGTTTCCAACCTGTCTAAACAGGGCTGCTGAAAGGAGATGAGGATAAGACTCTTGTGGTTCAATAGTGAATAATTGCTATTAGGACTGTTTGCGAATGTTGCAAATGTAAAGGTAGACGTTTTGTAACAAAAGGAGGGGAGTGGTTGATCTTGCAGTTCAGGAGCGGAGGACCCTGGGACCATCAAGGGAGAAGAGTGGAGTGTGGGAACCTATCCAGAGAAACAGCTATGCCAGAGATGGAGGCAGAGACCATGACGTGGAGAGATGGAGCAGCTGGGGACTCTAGACTCAAGGAGAGAGACGTGCTGTGTGCTGGTGGCTGGGGCAGACTTGTAGGGTATGCCCTTTGGTTGTTTGAATGGTTATATATTCCTGAGTGCTTCGGTGTACATCCAAAACAAACAAACAAACAAAACAAAAAACAGAGGGATTGGAAGCAAATGTTGTTGAATGATAATGCATGGAGGGGATTGCAATCATTGCAATGAAACTAAATACGACAGGATGAATGTAACGCGGATGTTATTCACAATAAAAACATAAACAAAAAAACTATGAAGCAGTTCTACACAATAATATGTTGGGTCACCATGAGTCAGAATCAACTCAACAGCAATGGCCTTGGTTGTTTTTCTGTTTTGTTTTAATTACCTATCTAAATGTGTATAAAGAATTGGAATACATGGCACATTATGAATAGTCAATAAATGTTTGCTATTTTCACTTTTTTATTATTATTATGTTTCTTAATGTCTCATATATACTCACCTAGCACATTAAAGGAGGAGCATTGTGACTCTGTACAATACACACTGAACTATGAACCACAGAGCTATGGACAATGTTGTGAAGTATGAGTATTCAGAATACTTAATTGTGCTCATGAGGAATCTGTACATGGACCAAGAGGCAGTTGTTTGAACATAACATGTGAACATTGAATGGTTTAAAATTAAGAAAGGTATGTGACAAGGTTGTATTCTTTCACCATACTTATTCAACTTGTATGCTGAGCAAATAATACAAGAAGCTGGGTTCTATGAAGAAAAACATGGCATCAGGATTGGAGGAAGACTTATTAACAACTTGCAATATGCAGATGATACAACCTTGCTTGCTGAAAGTGAAGCGGACGTAAAACATTTACTGATGAAGATCAAAGAGCACAGCCTTCGGTATGGACTACATCTCAATGTAAAGAAAAAAAAATCCTCACCACTGGACCAATAAACAACAATCTTATCAATAGAGAAAAGATTGAAGTTGTCAAGGATTTCATTCTTCTTGGATCATCTATCAACACTCATGGAAGCAGCAGTCAAGAAATCAAACAACGTATTGCATTAGACAAATCTGTTGCACAAGATCTTTTTAAAGTGTTGAAGAGCAAATATGTCAGCTTGAAGACTAAGGTGCACCTGACCCAAGCCATGGTATTTTCAACAACTTCATATGCATGAGAAAGCTCTGCAGTGAATAAGGAAGATCTTAGAAGAATTGATGCATTTGAGTTATAGTGTTGGAGGAGAATATTGAAAGTGCCAAGGGCTGACAAAAGAACCAACAGATCCATGTTGGAAGAAGTGCATCTAGAGTGCTCCTTGGAGGCAAGGATGGCCAAACTTCGTCTCTCATACTTCGGACATATTATCAGGAGGGATCAGTTGCTGGAGAAGGATATCATGTTTGGTAAGGTGTAGGGTCAGAGAAAAAGAGGAAGACCCCAACGAGATGGATTGGACAAGTGGCAGCATCAATGGAATCAAGCGTGGCAACAGTAGTAAGGTTGGCCAGGGATTGGGCAGTATTTTGTTCTCCTGTGCATAAGGTCGCTATGAGTCGATACTGACTCAATGGCACCTAACAACAACAACAACAACATGAACCACAAGATTGGTAGTTCAAGATCACCAGCTGATCCCTGAGAGAAAGATGAGGCTTTCTGCTCCTGTAAATACGTACAGCCTCGGAAACCCTATACAGGGGTGCTAGGAGTCAGAGAACTCACTGGATGCACATTAAAAGTCATGTGGGATTTTATTGTTGTTGTTTCATATTATGACCCTGTAACTTTTTTCCTCTTAAGTTCAGTCACACTCTTCTACCTCAAAAATTTTGTTCTTCTATTTTAATTTGATATTTGATTTTTGACCCCCTAAGTAATTAAGAACTTGGGCTACATATCTTAAGAAAGAAAAGTTTTTCTATCCCATTAAATGGACTAATATTTACTAAGTTATATAAAAAGATAAGTTCTGTAGTCTTCTGGCTTTTATCATAAGAAAAAGGAAGTCATTTGGAACTTAAATTCCACAGCAGCCAGACACTTACATTAGTGAAGTCAAAGATATGAGAAAGTGAAATATGAGAAAAAGAAGGTATGCTCTTCCCGGGTGAAGAAACACTAACATTTATGTGACTGAACAATTAGCAAACCTTTCCAAGGGTGAGTGGTCAGGCCAGAGTCTGTCCACATGCTCAACTGTTTTTCCAGTACAGTAGTTCATTAATTAATTCTAAGCCAATAAAACAACCTTCTCTCAGAGCCTTAATGGTAAAGGCGAAGGATATATAATTATTTAGGGATGGGAAATAGCAGAAAGAAGAGGTATAATAGAATGAGGAGGAGATGGCCTAGACCAATCCTGGTATTTCTAGATCAATCATAAAAGTAAAAGAATTACTCTTGGTTACCAAGGACTCTCCTATATCCCCAAAGTGGAGTCTAAGCACAGCAGTTAGTATGCACATATTCCTCCCCAAGTCTTTCAACAGTTCACAAAATCCTTCAATACTTTTACCTGTTCACATTGGCTGTGTTGACCCACGGATCTGAACAGTCTTATATAAACTTCCTCAGATCCTAAGACCAATCAGTATCTCTTCTAGGTGAAATGGATGGTGGTGGTGTGCTGTGAAGTCAGTTCTAACTCATAGCAACCTTGTATAGGGTTATTGAGGCTGTTGTTAATCTTTACGGGAGCAGAAAGCCTCATCTTTCTCCAATGGAATAACTGTTAGTTTTGAACTGCTGACAAGATGAAGTGGATAGGCTTACCCATATTCATCTTGATTGGTAGGTTTTCTCTGCTTGCAGCTTCCACTAGATGTCTCCGAACTTCCATCATTGCCTCTTTTTGCTTGGTGCTCAGTAAGAATTCCCAGAGGGCTTTGGCAGCCGTGTCACTGTGGAGAAACCAAAAGAGCTTTAGTACAAATTTCTACTGGATGATGAAAAGGGGTGAAAAACAAGATGACTTTTAAATATCTTTTTTGAGCACTAGCAAAGACTTTCCTACTGATGGACTCCACGTGTAAGTATAAAACAAGCAGCTTTTGACAGGCCCAGAACATCAAGAAATTAAGGAGGCTATAATATATATTTAAAAAGGAATTGGTTTTTAAATTTTATATTAAAATTTATCCCAGAGTTAAATTCAACCAATACAAAGCTAAAATAACATACGCATGTTTAAAAATGTTTTATCCACAATGGTAAAGACACCTCTTTAAGATCACAGATTGGAAAAACTTATGTGCATCAAAAGACTTTACCAAAAGAGTAAAAAGAGAACCCACAGAATGGGAAAAAAATCTCTTGCAAAAACACATCACACAAGGGACTCGTTTTTAAAATATATAGGGAACTCCAACATTTCTACAAGAAAAAGACAACCCAATTCAAAAATGGACAAAGGACAAGAACAGACACTTCACTAAGGAAGAGATCTGGGCAGCCGACAAACATATGAAGAAATGTTCAAGATCACTAGCCATTAGAGAGATGCAAATCAAAACAACAATGAGATATCAAGTCACACCAGCAATAACAGCAAAGATCAAAAAACTAGAAGACAGTTTCCGGTTTTAGTGGGCAGTAGAGACAGGTAGGAAAGGCTCCGTGGGTGAGGGATTGAAAACCCAGAAAGGTACGCTCAGGGAACACCACCAGAACTCTCAATCTAGCATAAGATACAGGGTGTCAGTTTCTCACACGTGCAAATGAAAAAATCACAATATAAAGGAAAATTCTGCAAGTTAGGAAATGCTTGAGATGGGACTCCCTCTGTGACCACCATGCCCGGGGTGGAGTTCAGAGGGCGGGGCTACAGCCTTACTGGCACAGGGAACCTGCACTAAAAGCAGTGCGAAGGCATTTGCAAAAGGAGGTGCAGGAGATTCTACACATTTTTTTCTCCTCTTTCCTGTCCCACATTCTTTGCCCAGATGGGAGCCTTCATGCAGGTGAGTTCAAACCCCTAGCCCCCAAATATAGTCCAACGCTGAGCCCATAGTTTTCCCAGGCACAGAGACAAAGAGCTTGGCGGATATTTTTGACGTCAGCCTGTGGGTCCCAGACATAAAGTTAACTTGTGCAGGACCCTTTATTAGGGCCTATACATTAAGAAAAAATCTGGTAAGGACTGACAGACAAACTATATGAACAACCTGTAAAAATCAAACATAAAAGTACACAACTATCTCAAGAACTACACTGTGCACATGCAGATACCTAACTGACCTTCAGAGAAAAAACAGGAGACACTCTTTGTCCCATTAACTTCCCAATATCTATCTGGGCACCTCTACAGTGGTGACAAGAGGAGGGGTCTGAGTGACTGGACACCCCCACTCATTGCTGGCAGCTTCTACGGTGCACACTCACTGCCTAGGTAGCAAGGTGACTGGACAGTCGGCCAATTTTATTTTTACACTGGTGGTTTTTACCTCGGTTTTTATATTGCTTCCGCTCTTGGTCTTTTTGATCACAAATTTTTGTTGGAGGTATGAGCTTTTTCTCTCTACATTACCCAAGAAGAGTGAGCAATTATGGCCATATACCCAAAGTACAAGCATACCCCATAATATGCCACTATTGAGACAAGAGACAATAACAACTGCTAAGCATTACATGTAAAAAGGACAGCCTATCTCTTGATACCCAGTAAGCTTAATAACACAACAACAAACATCCATTAAAGCATTAAAAAAAAGCCACATAACCACTGGAAATGAAAAACAAAAAACAAGAAAAGATCTCAAAATATGTCCAAAAACAGAAAAGAGCAACTGAGACAAATGAGCTGGAGACAAACAAAGGCTCCCTGGAAGAGGCAGAGCAGGTTTTGGATTTACCTGAGAAGGAATTCAGAAGAATGATATGGAAACAAATTCAAATGCTCCGAAAAGGGGTGGAGGAAAACAAGGAAGAAGTCGGGAAAGTACTACAAGTGCAATTGGAAACAATTCAAAACCTGCAAAAAGAGATCCAGATGATTAATAATAAAATATCAGATATAGACAATACACTGAACGGGTAAAGGAGCAGAATAGAAGAGATGGAAGCCAGAACTAGCGAGCTGGAAGACAAATCTCTCATTACTGCTAAGATAGAAGAGCAAGCAAAAAAAAAGGACAAAAAAATCTGAAGAGAGTCTATGATTCATGCTGGATAACATGAAGAGGAATAACTGAAGAATTATTGGCATTCTGGAACAGGAAGAATTAGAGAAGTCCACAGAAGAGATAGTGGAAGAGCTTCTGGAAGATATTTTCCCTAACATCTTTCAAGATGAGAAGAGAACATTCAAGAAGCCAAATGTACCCCAGAAAGGATAGACCCCAAAAGAAAGTCACCAAGACATATAACAATCAAGCTCTCCAAAATCAAAGACAAGGAGAGAATCCTAAAAGTGGCCAGAGAGAAGAAAACTGTCACTTATAAAAGCAAGCAAATCAGATTAAGCTTTGACTGCTCAGCAGAAACTATACAGGCAAGAAGGCAATGGGGAGACTTATACAAAATCCTAAAAGAACAAAACCAGCCGAGAATCGTCTATCCAACAAAACTATCAATCCAATACGATGGTGCAATCAAAACATTCCAGGATATACAGAAGCTAAGAGAATTTGTCAAAAATAAATCCAAAGAACAAACAAGATGGCGGATCGGGTTGACGTGTAGGAGAGAGGTCCGCCAACAACAACACAGAATACCCTAACAAGCAGGCTCAGGGGATGATACCAGAACTCTGAACCACATATAAAGGAATACTTAGAAGGTTAGAAGGCTCACAGCTGGACGAATTTGTGGCAGAAGCAAGAAATCCATTGCTTTCTAGCCGGGACGCTCAGCTGCTCAAGGAGCTGCCATCTTGGGTGAGACCACATGGGGGAAAGATCGGAGCAGCCACAGACACCTGGCAGAACTGCTGCGATAAAGGTGTGGACATTATTTTCTTTTGGTATCTGTTCATTGGTCCCTTGTTGTCTGTGCACCTCCATTCTGGTGACTATAGGGGTGCCTGAGCTAGTGGGCACCCCAGCCCCACCCTCAGAGGGTTCTA